GCCAATGTTCTTTTAGGCTGGAGGCCATCGCTACTAGGTTTGGACAAAAGGCACTGTTGTGGTTTATAGAATCGAGTGTTTGTTTGAGGTGTGTACAACTGTGCATGCCTGCAGACATGTTGCACACAGGCCCTATGCTTGGTTTTCCACAAGTCTTTGGTGTTTTCTCCAAGTTGATCTTGCTGACCAGCTTAAGTTTTGCTGGGAAGCTTCCCCCCCGCCGCCTTTAGGGCGGGGGGAGCTTTCTTTTTTTTGCTCTCTTGCCGGACAACTGGGTCGTCAGCGACCGATGTGCTTCCGCGACAACGGTCAAGGTTCCAGCTGTACAGGTGTCGCTGAATCACAACAGTGAGTCGAAAGGCAGGGCCCACGAGTGAGGGGTTGCTTTGGCCCCTCTCTCAAAGGCACGAGACAAAAGCTCTAAGGTCTTATTTTCGAGGAAGACCTCAGCTCCACAGAAGGCACCTTTGGGGAATGTTTTCCCATTACACTTATTCCCCTTGTCCAAAAGAAGGGGTGCAACTACATAGTTCTTGGCCTTGCAGAACGAAATTGCCGCACGGATGACCGCAGCGTATGCCTGGAGTGTGCAAATCGTGCCTTCCGGTAGCTCAAAGCGAAAGCCACTTAGAAAGGCTGCAGCTGAAAGCTCAAAGACTGAGCGGGGGGAGCTTTCTTGAAAAAGCGTGAGCTATCCTGCGTCCAGTTCCTAGTAGCTTAAGTAAGCTACTAGCGACTCCCTAGCTACTAGCTGCTTCCCACCTCACCTCTAGCGGCCTACCCCCCAAAAAAAGCTTTATTGAGGTTTGGTCTTTGATCCATTGTGATTCCGTCCGTTCATGAATGATTTATTGACAAATGTATTGAGTGAACATTTGCTGGAAGGATTGGTTGAGCTCCTTGTTGTTTCTAAGTGTCCGTGGTTTTCGAGGTGCTGCAGTGAATCTAGGTTGTGGCAACTTTAAGTTTGCTTTACCTCTAGGGACAAGAAGCTACTAGGGGCTCCTGGCATCGCTACTAGGAGCAAGGACGCTACTAGGGGCTCCTGGCCGTACTACTAGGAGCAAGAAGCTATTAGGAACAAGAAGCTACTAAGACCCACATTGTTTGACGTTTCACAGATGCCCAGTCGCAGGCGCATAGCACCCTTAGGGAGGCTGCGGCACAGGCGTGGCCTGGAAACGGGGCGAGATGCAATACCTTCGATTGTGCGGTGCAGCGGCAGCATTCCGTTCTGTACATCTACAGTACTATGTTTGCAGATTTGCAAATGATTCAAGTATTTCCAGTGACCTATGATGCTTGGGTGACTGCAACCTCACACCTTCGGAAGCACCCGTAACCCACTTGTGTGGGACGCATTCAATTCAGGGGTGGTTGAATGCACCAATCGCGAAAGCTTTGTGCGGTACTTCCACGATGAATCTGCAAATATTGGGTGAAGAAGGAACCACAGCACTTTATGCGGAGTGCACTGTTTTGGCCAAGGAGACATGGAGAAGACAGCAAACTGGCGTCAGTCGTAAACTTGACCTAGAAAACCAAACAGGTCTCGACCAAACCTGCAACATCTAAAGTTTGCCCCGATCAGGAGTTTAGGTTAACCTAATTCCCTCTGCGCAATCCTAGCGGCGCAGCAGCCAGCTACTTGCCAGTTATACCCCTCTTACTTGGCTTACTCGAGCTCACCGCACTGCCTACCCCGCTCCAGTTTTAAAGTAATTCCAGCTACAGTAGATTGGCATTCTTGTGACAGCCTTGCAACCAAATCCAGAGAGCGGCTAGGGCTGGTAGGGCGCAGACCACGACATACCACAAGTACATTTGGTTCTTTGGTTTTGGTTCTTTTCTTGCTTCATCTTCTGAGGCCTCCCTGCCTTGTCAGCCACAATGAGTTATGGAAAATTTAGGTAAACTTGGTAAACAACTTGAAAAAAGAAGCAGGGTCTAAAGAACAGATTATGAGCAGGACAGGTCCATTTCTGTTGCCAATATGTGCTTTTTCTCTTTTGACCTTTCGACCTTGGCTCAACTGTTTCAACCATAGTTGTCCAAAGAGAGATACTTTGACAGAGACCCTGGCCGTGGGGTTTCCCTTGCTCTGACGGACCTCCTCCGAGTTCTACATCATCAACGGTGCTACCTTGGCAATACCTTCCCTCCTCGAGTTTGTGGTTGCCTGCAGGACAACACCATTGTTGCAAGGGAGTGTGCTTGTTTGTCGCTGTTTTTTGTCATTCAAACTTGTGATCCCACCAAACGCATCAGTACTAAAAAGAGGCGTCCACATATCCAGGAACTTCAGCTCTCCTTGTGTTGCCGTTGCAACATTGTCATGCTGGCGCGTTGTGGCGGGCGGGATGCCTTGTGGCATCTGGGATATATCCAGAACACGTCCAGCACGTTTTGAAAAGAACGACTGACTTAGGATTTGCCACTATCCGACTCGCCTTCAAGATCGGACTTGACTGCAGAGAAACAAGCACATGTCATGGACAAACTGTTTCAAAAGACGAAGTGATTAGGGTTTGAGTTGTTTGTGGCAAGTAAACAATGAAAGCACGTGACTCGGACTGATGTTGCATACTGTTATATACTGTTGCTTGGGGTGAACGATGAGTCAACTGTCCGGGCTTGCTGAGAGGTCCCGGAAGACATTGTGAGAACACTCGGGACACTGGTTTAGGAGGTCGTTTCAGTTGCGGGGGTTGCAGAAACGTTGCATGAGACAACGGAGTCAGACTTGGCAAATTGCCATGCTTCCAGGTTCAAATTCAGGGTACACCTCAAAATCCACATGCAACTAAAGAGAATGGCTCATGAGTCAAACCTATGTCATGACAAATTGCGCCGTCCGCAAGATGGTTGGAAACGAATTAAACACATCATTCCTAGGAGCTTCCTAGAATTCTAATTAAATTCGTAACTTGTTACCACTAGTAAGGCACCTGTTACTACTAGCGTGGCGCTTGTTACTAGTAGCTTCTAATTAAATTCTTCAGTGAAGCACGAAACGCCTCCCAAGATGCGAGTTTTGAGACATCTTGCCATCGGGTACTAGTAACAAGTGCCACGCTAGTAGTAACAAGTGCCTTACTACTAGTAACAAGAAGCTAGTAGAAACAAGAATGATGGAAGGAGCAATGACATCGCTGCATGTCTTGACTCGTGACATTCTGTTTCAATGAGAAGCATATCAGCCAGGATGGCCCTGGACGGTGGTATTTGCTTGGCCTCAAACTTCGTCAGCCTTTGGCTCTTCAACAAGCGAGAGGTGCATTTGGAGCAGGTACAAAGGTTCTGGGCCCCGGGGCTATTTCATATTGATTTGCGTACGATCTTGAGTTGAAGGAGGGAACAACGTCATTTGGCCAGGCACAAATCCAATTGGCCCTTTCAAGAGGTGCTGGTAGTTTGCAAAAGCTTTAACGGGTCAATTAATTATTGGATTTGTTGTCCACGGACATTCGACTCTGGAGCAATCGATCCGAGCTTGCTGGGCCATATGATACTTGCAGGGCCTGAGTTGCTATGGGAAATTGAATACGTGGACATATGTCAACACAACGTTGTCTTCCCGTTTTCATTGCTCTGGGAGGCTAGGTCTGGTTTTGTCAGAGTTTCCTGGCCCGAGCGATTCAGTTTTGCCTGGTCATTGGGTTCCAAATGTCTTGATTTAGAGGCAAGAAAACAGCATGTGGTTGAGGGAACATCCAGGTAGGTTGGAGGCCATCACTACTAGGGTGGAGGCCATCACCCTTAGGTTGGAGGCCATCGTTATTAGGTTGAGAGAACATCCAGCAGGCAGAATAAATAGCGCCTCCAATTCCCCAACCTCAAAAACAGACAAGGTTTATATGCAGCGACTTTCTTGGTTGAATGTGCCATTCCAAGTGTAATTAGGGCTCAGAAATAAACAACATGTGTGACATGCTCTTATTTCAGTCAAGATCGCCTTTGGTGCCCACGGTTCAAACCGCAGCTGTTTGCAACATGGAGACCACTCCGCGAAAGCGGTTTCGGCCTCAGAGGTGTAAACGCCAAATATGTGACCCTGTTCTCGTGTATCGCAAGTTGAACATGTTGGTGTTGCCAACTTGCTCAAGTTGCCAACAGGTTGGAAGGTCTTTTCCACAATTGGTTGGACGCAAAAACGAATAATTAGGTTGAACACCTTAGAATGCAGCGGAATGAAGGTCGGCCAAGAGGAACACAAGCAAGCATTGTAATTAGTTAGAGAAGTTAGCCAAGCGCAGTCCGTACGCTTGCTGTAAGCAACTTTGGATTCCTGCAAACAGGCCTTGTTGGGATCCACATTGCTATTCTCAAGAAGACCGGCCGGAGCAAAATATGAATGTTGCAGGGTCTGGCTTTGAGCAAAGCATATCCAGTCTTTCACCCATTAAACAAGAAATTCTTGCGGATCCTAGGCTGAGGCCGTTGAGCAGCGAGCCCAACCCCGACCAGCGGAGACGCCAACTGGAAGCATGGCCACGTAGCCGCACTTTTCTGCTTTGCAATCGAGAACAGCTTGAAAGGTTTCTAGGGGCTCAGATTCGGTTGTTGTGGGGCACAGTATGTCACTCGCCAAGCTTTTGTTGGACAATTGACCTTGGAAACGCTGTTAAAGTAAAGCATTGTGAAGTGCCTCCAACCTAACTAGCGATGGCCTCCAACCTTAAGTTTCCCTAAAAATCTAGGAACCAATTGAATAGTGCGAGCGCCATCCTGCGTCCATGCTAGTAGTAGCTTACTTGTAGGAACTAGCTACCTACCTTCTACTAGCTACCTCTAGCTACTACCTCACCTCTAGCGGCCTACCCCCTTAAACCAAACCAAAGCGGTGGTGTTGGATGAGTTTTGCATACTTTGCCGAGGGCACGCGTGGAAACACTCGAGTCCGACTCGGACCAAGGCTATGCAAGAACCAGGCGCAACTTCAACAAGCCGAGCGCTTGCTCAGTGCTCGCTGGGCCGATCCCACGCTCTTCTCTGAGAAAATGGAGCTTTGCCAGAAGGCACTGAGTGTGAGAAAAAGAATGGAGGTACTCCGACGGTACTAATGATATTTTTGCAATGTTGGATATTCCCGATATTTTCCAATTGGATCCAAGTCTCTCCACTACCTAGGTGTCTCGAGCGACACCAACCGAGTAAACAGCACGCGCACACCCACACACACACACACACTTCGCACCAGCCACTCTTTTCTTCGGAGGTCTTGCAGGTCATGAAGAGAGTTCTGGGCGGCGAGTCTGCAGCATCTTGGCATGAAGGGATCATCCATGATAACAATAGTTCCTGGATATGTCCCCGACAGCAAACCTTGGGGGTCTTCAGCCATAGTAAAGACTTCGGGGTCCGGAGCAGGTTCCGGGACAGGTTGCAGGGACTGGAGCAAGCTTCGCAGCAACTTTGCAGATATTTTTATGCTGACATGCTCACACGGGTCACAGTGACATGCTGGCTTGCTCCAGGGCAGGCTTTGGAGCAGGTTCCCTTGTTCTTAGTTGTTGCTGCGTTGTCATGTTTCCAGACATGTGGGCACGGTGGGCATACGATGGTACAAGTGCTATGCCGACATATTGCCGTGTTGTGCACCATTGCCTGGCCAAGATGCAACAGTTGGTGAACTTAGGGAGTTAACTGTTTGGTTCAGCAGTTGGAAAAGAAAGCAAGTATGATATGATGCTCGCAGTGCCAGGAAAGCAAGAGTTTGCTGCTGCTGGGCGAGCCTGGAAGCGGCAAGACCCAGGCCGTCGATTGGTGTTTGCAGAAGCTCAAGGAGGAAACTTTCGAACTTCACACCATATCTGACATGTACAGGACTTGAAGCTAGCAGAATTCCAATGTCTAAGGCCCAGAGGTTCAGTGGCTCCAGTACGAGAAAGGCAAGCCGGTTCAACCGGAAATGTATTCTGATCAGTGCACGCTTCAGCCACAGCCTTCTCAAGGCAAATACACTGGTTTTTCTGGCAGATGCCTTTTTGTTCTTTCATGGATTTCACGATGTTGAGATTAGTCCACTGAGTTGCAATACTTTGTAGTTTGGATGATTTTGGATCTGCCCACAGCCCAGCTCACTAAACCGCATTCGGACATCCGTCATGCATGGTATTGCTCATCCGTCGGGGTGAGTCTAGGAGAACAACTCCATCATCACCCTGCGAGCTCGGGGCGAAACTTGGCAAAGGGGCGGATGCCCGCTCCCCCCCCATCCCTACTTAATTGAGTAAGGGAGAGGTAGCTAGTACCTTACTTGAGCTACTAGTATGGACGCAGGATAGCTCACTCTTCTTCAAGGAAGCTCTTCCCGCCTGAGGGCGGGGGGGAGCTTCCTTGAAAGAAGGGCTCGCACTATTCATGTCGTTCCTAGATTTTTAGGGAATATCTTTTCGATGTCCTACATATTTAAAAGTGGAGTGTTGACGCGTCTCGACGGCCCCGCATCGTATTGTGTTTGGTTTGATTTGTTGTGATTTCAATTCATTACATTTCATGACTATTCTAGCAAGAATTGGGCCATGCTTTGTTTGGGGTCCGAAAAACAAAAGTGTGAATATGTGAGCACCTAAAATCGAGATGATTTGAGGACATGTATTCCTCCAACATTGAGTGCTTGCGGCACCTGGCGCAACAGATCGCGGGGCAGCTCATGACAAGTCCACAGAACGGTTCATTCGAAGGCTCTATGGAGTGGTTTCGCTGCATCCTCAAGGAGGGGCTGTGTTTCCCAGGTTGTAGCATAGTGATGGCCTGGTTCTGCATGACAACTTCATTGATTCAAAGTAAGAAGCGTGTGAAAGCAGTGGAAGAGTGCAGTTGTTTGTCATTATATAAGTGTCCCATTCCCGCATAATTCCTATGCCAGTTTCACGAATCTACGATTGAAATGTAGGAGAGCTTCAACCGCGAAAGCGCAGTGGTGATTATCTTGGATCGCTTTGAGCACTTCTGCAACATGGCACGACAAACGTTGCTTTACAATCTCTTCAACCTGGCGCAGGACCTCAGTCCCTTGACTTGAGTACACCTGTGTATCAGACTTGAATTTGTTATACTTCATGGTTAAGTTACCGTAGGTACATAAGACAACAAGTGAGACAACCAGAATATTTTGCAGCTTAGTAAGTCTTACTAAGTAAGTTTCCCTAAAATTCTACGAACCAAATAGATAGTGCGAACGCTTCTTTCAAGGCTCCCCCCCGCCCTAAGGCGGGGGAGCTTCCTTGAAGAAGCGTGATATATCCTGCGTCCAGTTCCTAGTAGCTTAAGCAAGGTAGTACCTCTTCTACTAGCTACCTCTTCGCGGCCTACCTTCCCGGGCCAGAAAATGAAATAGAAAGGTCTAAAGGTTGAAAGAGAAAAAGATCAGAAGTTACAGGCTCAATCAAGGTCATAAGGTGAATCTACAACTCACTGGCCACATGCAGCAACAAAACGTTGTCACAAAACTTGGTGGCATTTGGACAGAATTCCTTTTGCACTTTGGTGTGCAGTTGGATTCACAAGTGGTGCCATTCAGAATCGTTCAGGGAACTGTCCAGTCAAATCCTATGGTCACTTATTGTCAATCTACCTGCTACTCATTTCATACATGGCAATGGTTTGTCGAGCACATGTTGACTGAAACCACAACATCCAATTTACTGCCAATTTGCTTTCAGTTGATTCACAGGAATGCTGGTTTCAAAACCGTATTCATAGAAGGAGCCGTCTCTAGCTCTTTGAACAGACAGATGGAGAAAGTCGTGACAATGTTCTGAAAGCACGGCAATCGTATGAGAGTCTCGGAGCTGAGCGGAGCTGTGTTGAATGATGGCAGTGATGCCCCTAGTAGCGTCCTTGCTCCTAGTAGCGATGCCAGGAGCCCTAGTAGCTTCTTGTTCCTAGTAGTAAGGCCAGGAGCCCCTAGTAGCATCCTTGCTCCTAGCTCTAAAATGGTCACGTTGTCATTTGATGACAATCTGGTGAAGACTAATTGTTCAATGCTCCACACAAAGTCTTGTAGATACACTCTGAGAAACGAATTGCATAGCTGCATAGTCCTTGATGGTCAAACCAGAACAGGTATGGAGATGTACGTCCGTACGTCCTCCCCAGTGTCATCGCAGACGCGGAGCCAATCCAACTACTTGTACTTGCAGTAGAATTCACTGTGCATGCTGCGGCCGTGTTGGGTGCCAAGGTGTGCGGCTTTGCATAGTCGGTGTCTCCGAGAAGTTTGATGTCACTTGCCAACTGGAGACACTTGGTTTTCTCGAGTCGTTTGCAACATGGGGGCTGATGTGATATGTTATGTCTTCATTGTGAAGGCACCATTGCCAGGCACCATCCACATCATACGGGTTTGTTTCGGCTTCACACAGCATAACTTCAAGAATATGTTCGGATAGCGGAAGCAATGTTGAGAGGACTGTTTCAAGACGTTCAAGCAGGCCACTGACTGTGGCAAGGAGAAATACATGGCACGAATGGCACTGAGGAAGCGCATCCTTTCGCGCTTTTCGATGGAGTACCTCTTTGCTTTTTTGCCACGAGATGCCAAGGATGTGACACGCATCCTAGAAGCTTGGAGGTTGAACTGCATCAGATCTAGTAATTCCCAAATCCAGTTGGTATGATGTGACAGTTGAAGTCGTCATCAAGTTTTGGGGAAAGCCCAGGAGTGCAAATTGCAGCTTCCTGAGAATGCAGACTCGTTGGACGTGTCCTTTGTTCAAGACTTTAACCAGAGGATCACCGAAGCCTTGCAAGCCAGGCTTCCTCAATGGGCGGAGCCACTTGGGTTAGAACGGCCAACAAATTGTGTGGAGCGGCCTATACTTGCAGGTGCAAAATGCTTACATGCTTACTCTAAGCACCTCCAATGCGCCTATGGCGATCTAAACTAACAGTAACAGTTCAATCGATACCATTTCGTGATGAAAGTCAGTCGTGATTTGAGCCTCCAAGATTATCATTTGGCCATGAATCAACCACCGAAGCTCGAAGCTCGAACAGTCCATAATCCCAAGGAAGGGAGGATGCCCACCACATTGAATCGGCAACGAACACTTGATTTGTCCCGCCTTTGAATTCATCAGTTTCGAGCTGATGCTTGCTGCTTGTGCATATCTGCTCTTTGGACATGCCACTGAGGGATATCGAGCTTGGGCGAAAGCCCACTTGGTTTATGTGGCACCTTGCCGGCAAAGGGACAAAGGCATTGGCTCATCAGAAGGGTATTATACTCCGTACAATTGTTCGCAACATGCAGGTTTGCTTCCTGCAATTGTTAAACTCAGTGCAGACGCGAAGAACCTTTCCACGATGCTTGAAGGTCGGCATATCCGCCTCTTAGATTGTATGTTCTTGTGGGTCCGCTGTGTTTGTTTAGTGATGTTATTTCTCAGTTTGGTTTGCCTGTTCTTTCTCCCCTCGGTGAGGCAATGTTTGCCGGTGGTGGGTTTCCTTCGCAGCTCCCTGGTAGCACCTGGCCTACCGAAGAAGCGACGGGAACTCGGCGAAGATGCCCAACGGCGGCGGCTCTTTTTGCGAGGAGAGGAGCTCCGCGACCCGGGGAAAAAAATAGAACATAATAGCAAAAGGAACCTAATAGTGATACTTTTCCAACAAATTGAAAGAATCCATCGAACGCCAGCATATATTCACCGCTCCGCGGCGAACCCCGGAACGCAGGGGAAGTACGCTGGTATCTATTTGAGGTGTGTTGCGCGCAACTAGTCTCAATACGACATCTGCAGGTACAAGCACGCACACGCTTGCAATGATGCCACTCCATGTGGTAAGCATAATTCACATTATCAATAGTTTATCGTTTCTCTTTCGGGAAGGCCACAGCGGCAAGCACACACGATGTCAATAATGCATTCTCACTCGGGCAGCAAAACCGACATCGCCAATGCGTCGATATTTTTTGTCGGCTTTTAAGAGCTCTAAAGCCCAGCATTCTAGACAAAAAAAATGTCCCCCAACTTAAAGCTTAATGAGCTATCTAGGAACTTCTAGCGGCTCGCGCAATTTGAGACAACGCCTCAGCACCTTCGGCGTGGGGCCGAGAATGGTTGGCGATTAGCAACCGTGAAGTCGAAGTCCGTGTTCTTCAAGCCTCAAGCACAACCTAAATTAAAATGCAGTTGTTGACATTCGTCATCCCTCGTGTGCAACCAACATGTTCCACAAAGAAACTGATCGAACAGTACGTTGGTTCCTGGGAAGATGCTAGCCGGCATATGTTGGCTCCTGCGAAGAAACTAATCGAACAGTATGTTGGTTCCACAAAGATACTCACGGCTGCAAGAGTTTCATGGCCGGTTGTCAACAGTTGAAACTCGTAGGGTTTGGGCTGTGTGATACAAAAGTTGAGTTTTGAAAGAAGAATCTATTTGTTGCTGATCAGTCCTGATGCAATACTGTCGATAAGCATAGTATCAGCACCAAGCAGCACTATATATACATTGCATTCAACGGACTCACGGGTTGCATTGATGCCTTGATACTTACGTGTTTGTGTGATGGAATTTCGTGAAGAATGTGAGAAGGTGGTTTTTCATTGGTTTCCTGCAACGTACTACTGCAACATGTTTACGTGAATTCTGGCTGAAGAGGCCTGGCTGAATGCGAACACCTCGTACTGCTGACACTCTTCCGACAGCGAACTGCCAAGTGGCCTCGAAGCCTCAGCACAGTACTGCATGAGCTTTTGCGACTGGTGGAGTGCAATGGCAACTGGAATTGCAGGTTCCATCAACTAATGAGGTTGTGTTCTGTTGGCGGGTGCAGTTCGAGATAATGACCGTGCAGCAAGACTAGTTGGGTGTAGGACACAAGGGGTAGGTCAACAGTGTTGGCAGTCAGTATAGCATCCTTTGTGGAAACAAAACAATGGCGTCGACGGTTTGCATCGGTTAGTAAAATTGAGACGACTGCATCCTGATGTCATGGGGGAAGAGTGAATCCTGCACCCTGCATCCCACGTTTGTAAAGTTGGGACAAGAGTGTTGGGCTAATTGTGTAAATCTGTGGGATGAACACTTTGAAGTAGGAAGGAGGCTACTTACTAGGTGGAGGCCATCGCTATTAGGTTGGAGGCCATCGCTACTAGGAACAAGGACGCTGCTAGTAACCAGTACGATCTGTTTGGACCAGATGTGGACAAAGGTTGATGGCCTTTCTCGAGTTTGCCAATGTGATTCCGGCACCGATGTATCCAAGTTCAAGCTTCAAAATGAATTCCGGCAAGGTGCTTCAACCACCTTTCGGCTTTTACTGGAACGAATTCTGAGGCAAGGTGCTCAAAGGCCACACGGAGGAGTCCTTGAGCAGCGCCTTTTATCGGCTGATCAGCTACAAGTTGGTGAACTTCATCCCTGTACTTTGGAAGCATTTGGCACTATTCGGAAGGTGAAATTCACCTGAGGGGATCTGGAAGAACATCTCAGATCCAGATGGACTTCCCACAAGGTGCTTTTACCAATTCAATAGAGGCTGTGTGTGAACTGCCAAACTTCCGCGGGACATTCCTTCAATCAAGATACGACTTTGTTCTGCGGCTCTATTTACTTGCAGCTTCAGTTGGGAAGAAGAAGTGGCAACACGTACTATCCGTGACTAACCACGATGTGACCAGCTAGAAAGAAGAAAAAAGAAGGTAGGAGGTAGGAGCAAGGACGCTACTAGAGGCTCCTGCCCTTAATACTAGGAGCAAGAAGCTACTAGGAGCAAAGGGTATCGCTACTAGGAGCAAGAACGCTATTAGGGTGAAGGCCGACTTCATCGCAGACGGCGCCAGGTCTCCAGCAGCGATGTTTCCAGCCGCTACAGGCCATGTGAGAGTCAAGTGGATGAAGAATATCGACAATGGGCCACTTGGACGAAATCCCAAGTCACCTGGGGATTCTACATAGCCCGAGGCTATGTTGTTTGAGGAAACAGACAGAAAGTGGATTTGACCCAAACAAGTGCAAGGAGATTCATGCACATGCATGAGTACAGAAGTGACATCCATGTTGACAGCAGAATGCAGGGAAAGTGTCCATCGCAGCAGACAGTTTCTGCTTTGTTTGTTCTGTTAGACATGTCTTTGGAAAGCTACTAGGAGCAAAGGGCATTTCTACTAGGAACAAGAAGCTGCTAGGGGCTCCTGGCCTTGCTACTAGGAGCAAGGACGCTACTAGTAACAGGTGCCACGCTACTAGGAACAGGTGCCTTACTAGTAGTAACAAGAAGCTACAAACGGGGCAAAGCTCCTGACTTGCGTATTCCCCGCACGGCTCCAGGGAACGGACTTTTCCAAACACTGTAGCGTCCTTGCTCCTAGTAGCGATGCCAGGAGCCCCTAGTAGCTTCTTGTTACTAGTAGTAAGGCCAGGAGCCCCTAGTAGCGTCCTTGCTCCTAGTAGGGATTTTAAGGAAGAAAGCGAATTGCTACCTTAGAGAAGCAAAACCAAATGCAAAATGGCAGCCATCCCAATCCCAATGTTTATGCACCTGAGGTCGAAGACATGGAGAAGACCGAATCGGCCATGTTGCAAAACCCATTGAAGAATATGCCAGAGGAGGTTCAACAGTGGGTTCGAACCATTTGAAGCTGTTTGAAGCTTCAAAGAGAAACCTTTGTCTTCACCCGCACCACATCGTGATTGCAAGGTTGGTCGCAAGTGAGGAAATTGCAGGTTTATCCATGAGGATGCGGTCGTGTGGGCAAGAGAACTTGACATGGCTTAGATGGATGTAGCGCTGTGAAGGAGGGTTGAGCCTCCAGGCAGAGATGATTGGATGTTGTTTTTTTGGTCAAAGATGCCGAGAGCAGCGGTCGAAAGATGAGTTTCAGACCAAATCATACTTGGTTTTGTTGGCAGCAGAGGGGCGTTGACATTCATATTGACCAAGCACCTATTCTCTTGGAGCCCACTTGCAGCAATAGGAACGTTCTTAGACATCCTTTGGTTTGGAATGTCCTACATACCTGGTCTTACCCCCTTTGCACTTGGAGTAAGATTGTAGTCTTCTGACCAAAGCACTCCAAAAGGACAGCTTTCAGGAATCCACTTAAGCTATCCTGCCCTTACTTAATGGAGTAGCCCTTGCTTAAGGTTCATCACTAAGGGCTCAAACAACAAGAAGAACATCTTTAAAAAGAATTTGATAGTAGTAACAAGAAGCTACTAGGGGCTCCTGGCCTCTAGGGGCTCCTGGCCTGACTACTAGGAACAAGAGGACGCCACTAGTAACAAAGTGCCTTTCTTCTGCTTCGATAATTCCTTTGATAGAGCTCTTTGCATCGCTTCGTTCTGCTGCTCACGGCCTGGGGGAGCGAGTGAGACTGGGAACTCGCTCATGCGGAGTGCGTGAAAAAATGCCGGAGGCGAAGACGAGAAAGGGTATCTGTGGTGTTGGAGCGGAGGTTGGTCAAGAAAGCATAAGGAAGGAGAAGAGGAAAGATCTAAAGAAAATCAAAATAAACAAAGGAAAACATGAATGCTCGTTGTATGTGGAAGCAAGGGGTAGTCAAGTCCAGCAAAGCCGAAGACCTTTGTAAAGGCGTTCAAGGATGCTAGTGTACAATGGCCCAATGGCATGCAAGGATGCCATGCAAGTACGGCGGGCAGGTAGATCGGTTAATGCACTACGATATGATTTCGTAAAACCTTACCGGTCATCACTGGAGAATCTTCACACTGTCGGTACCAAGAAATGCAACTATCCCTAGTAGCGTCCTTGTTCCTAGTAGCGATGCCCTTTGCTCCTGGTCTAGTACTTCAGCTTGCAGTGCCTTGAAGTGCCTTGCAGGTGCTTGGGAACGCGGACCTCCAGGCTTACATTTTGCGGACCGCAAGGGCCTTGACTTGCGCCAGGCCTTCGCCAAAGAATGGTACTGTCTGAAACCGTCCGTCTAACGTCTAAATACGAAAACGAAAAGAGAAGCTGTTTGGCCCCCTCTGTAAAAACAGAAGGCATTTTCGTTCAGTTTATTTGTTTACTTTCCAGACTGTAGGACTTGATGGGAAACTCATGCATTTGCCGACTACTGCTCTTTACGTCAGCTGATTCAGACCTCGTGTTGATGAATCGGGACATGTATAGCGAAAAGGCTCCTAGTAGCTTCTTGTTCCTAGTTGTAAGGCCAGAAACCCCTAGCGTCCTTGCTCCTAGTGACGATGCCCTTTGCTCCTAGTAGCGTCCTCTACCTGGCTTCGGTCAATTCTAAAGGGATGGACTGCATACTTCTTAAGTCGTCAAAGGTGTTGTGGTCCTGTGCTATAACACCCCACAAGAAATGGCTCTTGGTTGAGAGGAGTGCCTTGGTCAGCGATTAAGTTTCCCTAAAAGTTTAGGAACCATATCATTAGGAACAAGAAGCTACTAGGGGCTCCTGGCCTTACTACTAGGAGCAAGGACGCTACTAGGGGCTCCTGGCATCGCTACTAGGAGCTACATCGCCCTACTAGCTACTTCCAACCTCTTCTAGCGGCCTACCTCCCCCTTGAAAAAGAGGAAGCCATTCCTTCTAGCGGTCAGAGACCTTCAAGACCGCCTGAAAGAGGTCCGACAGCATAGGAAGCGTTCTTGTGAACACTGCCTTTTGTTTTGGACGCTACCCATCCTTACCCTTTGCACTCGAAAGGTTTGGATGGTCCTCCTTTGCAACACCAGGTAGGCAGAGGAAAGGCCTCAAGAAAGCGGGTTAATTGTGCTTTGTCACAAATGCTCACCTTAGGGGTCAAGCCTTCACAGGTGACAAGGGCAAGCGGATTTTGTAGGGCAAGCCGTATGAGGGCCTTTTCTTCGTTTCTTCGAGGCTCGTGGAGATGCCGCGCCAGAAGATGAGGACTTGCCACGAAAGGCAGCAAACTTTAACAAGGCCCAGGGTGGGAGTTGGGGACTGACAGTCGCCGGCTCTGGGAGTGTGGCATGTGGATTGAGGTTGACTATGGAGAAACGCAAAGCCAAAAACTCATGTGACTGGTGTAGTAAAGGAAAATAGTTCTTTGACTGAGGTTCCATGAAGCGAGAATCTCATGGGATTGGTGCCGTTCTCAATCGTTCTCACTCAAATTGATTCAAAGCTTCAAGGTTAAGGGATGCTGTCGTACTCCCAATCCTGTTACAACTGTTAGACTAAAACGGTTTCGTACTTAGATCCCACTACAACATTTAGATGATGCTGGTTCAAGGCTCACGAAAACGCTACACCAATCACCCTGGTCTGGGTTTTGATCAGAACCATGGGCGATGTTTCCCACAGCCCAAGTAAGTGTTTCTACAGAGGAACCTGGCACAAGCCTAGGACGCTACTAGGGGCTCCTGGCACAAGCCTGATGTTCCTTTTTTTGCAGCACGCAGCAGGACTGTGGACAGGTCCCATTCAATAAGAAACTCTATATCCCATTACGAGGTCGTTGGAGGATTGTCTTTGTCCAATTTTTGCATCTCGGGGCGCGCACTTCTGTCCATGATTGCGTGGGTGAAAACATAGATGACATAGATCCAACCTACTAGTGATGGCCTCCGCCCTAGTAGTGATGGCCTCCAACCTAATAGCGATGGCCTCCACTCCAGCTCCACTGTGCATTCTCTTCATGACTTCGTCAGCTGACTTCGCTTCGCTTCGTTAGCTTCGCTTCGCGAGTCTTCCGAGGTCTTGAGCTGGGCGGTAAAGGCCATGGTCGCCAGCATGCTGATCTCGCTGGCGCGGAGCATGGCACTGAACAGTCACTGAATACGAAATACGCGTATTATGCAAGCTAGATCTTAAGAGATAACTTAAGATTGGTTATGGTCTTTGGCTCT